GCTGACGAATAAGCTAAGCACTGCTTGGCATGTTTTGTATTTTGTACTTTATACAGGCTTGATATTCAACTGGAGTTTCAGCTGGGCTTGCAGCAGCTACACTAGGCCAGTGCACTTCTGCTAAACATCTAATGATTCCACTATCAGAAAACACCCAACAAAGCCTTGATGAAACTTCAAAGTATATTTTAAATACAATGGTATTAGAGCTCAGTTTCCTGCTGTTGCTGTGCCAAGAACTGTCCACAAAAAAGAATTAGACACTGGATAGAAGGTAGATGTTGTATCTTATAGGTTTTATTTCAGAAAACAAAACAAAACAGAACTTTGCAGCAGAGAWAGGAATGCATCTTGTATTCTGTTACAAAGTGCTAGTGTCCTACTGGAGAATGGGCAGCCCCAGGAGCTGGTGTACAGCATGGCTACTGYATGCCCAGGTACACTGTGTGTCTCACTCCGGTTGTCACATTGTAGGAAAAAATGGCTCTGTGAAAGCAGGGTCAGCTGAACATTAAAAAAAAATTCCGGGATGAACAATAAAAGGGACCCAACAAATCTAGGGGAGAACAGCAGTGTCTAGCAAAGTGTGGTGCTTGGGTAAGGATGATGCCTTTCCACCCTGTTTTTCCAGAAGTGTTAGTGGAAGTTTACCTTACCTGACAGTTAAGAGTCAGTGTAATGCCATGCAGCTGCACAAAGCAWCCTGAGCGAGAGCTGGGTAACAAACCAGACCTAAATGCACTGGGAATTAGCTGAATTCAGCAGCATTTTAGCTGGAAGAACAAAATGAGAGCCGAGGACAAAAGATGGGACTTTGAAGAATGAAGATGGCTGTTCTAAGGTAATTCAGTAATAAGAAAAAAAAAAGAATAATGACTAGAAGGTCCCTGACTGGGCATCTGATATTGACAGAACATGTATTTCTGAAAATTTCTTCCACTTTTTTTTTTGCTCACTGAATCAGAGCTTTCCCTCCCGCCCCCATGACCTTTACATGGCCTTTAAGGCTGAAGCTTTTCCATTCCTGGTGTTCCTTTGCAGAGATACTGACGCATACCCAGTAAAGGCACTGCAAAATAGCATACGTTTCTTCTTTCCTGAGTAAATGACAGTTAAAAAAAAAGCCACAAACCTAAAGGTTTCCCTTCTGCTGCTTTTGACTCAGAGACAGGAGATCTGCTCCCATGTGAACAGCCAGTGTCTACTGGCTTCATGAAGTCTGTTCTGGGGTCTTCTGTGATCAAAAAATACACTGCAATCGAAGAGGTTTCAGGCATCCAAGGACAGAAAAAGAGAAGATCCCCAACAGTCTAGTTTTCAAGCCCCAAGAAGGTAGAATACTTGGGCAGAACAGATCCCTGGTTTAAACAAGTTTCTAAAGTAGTGGGAACCTTTTGAGTTTAACCATTGATGTAACTTGCTATTTATTTCTAAAAGAGAAACCATTTCTGAGTAAGTTCTCTTATGTCCAAAGACTGATACCATATATAGGGCTTCTTCACCTGGGATGATTTTTATCTTTGTGGACTATAARCAAGCTTCCCAGTTGTGCAAAGAAGAAAAAATCCAGAAGCATGAAGTAGATACCTAGAAAGCTCAGAAGAAAAGGCAAACTCTTGCCCCAAAGCCTAACTGCACTGAGTTCTTGYTTTCTCTATCCCACAATCTCCAGCTTCATGTGATGCAAGACCAAAGAATTTTGGGGCACTTGAGTAGATTTGTGGATCTTCTAAACAGTATCAACAGTGCTGAACCAGGCTCGGATGTTTTAAAATATAAAATGGAAGCTCCCAGTATAGACACACGTAAGCAAGAACAATTGGGCAGAAGTTCTTTGCAAAAAAAAGTGACATCTTCACAGTCATTKTGTAGAAGCTGAGTGGATGCTCTGACAGAAAACTACAGCTTACAATTCTGCGGATCCATCTCTGGGTTTTGGCTCTTCCATTTTCAGGTGAAAATGAGCTTGTTTAAATATAAAAACCCAACAAGCTCATACTGTARCTAAAACCAAATTCTGCAAATACTGCTAACTCAGCCATATGTTAAACAATCATTTGATGGTAAAGCAGGTGAAGTATCAAAGAAGCTCCATTTGAATAGTATTTATTTGCAATCATTAGTTTTAAATGGGAAACTGTTTACAGGCACACGCTAGATAACCAAAATAGAATGAACATAAAGAAATCTATTTAAAGGTCCTTACCAAATATTTCAAATATTTTATTAAATATTTTATTCACTTTTATTATCACAGTTTAATGTACTTTAGCATGTTATACACATGACCTAACATGTGCACTAAAAAATATCAAATTAGAGGTTTTTGAATGAAGTATGACATTCTATCAATGTGCTTATTGACTTAACTACAACTAAGAAGGCAGTAGCTCTGTTAYACCACTGATGGAGATGAACTATTGTAAGGCATGTTTACACCAAACTTTGGAGAGAATAAAACCAAATACTAGGTCAAAAKTCAGTGGAAATACATGTGAGAATAGAATTTGAAGGACTGGGCTCCAAGAAGAAAGATCATAGCAAATCAGTTGTGTTAAAACTGTCAACAGATACTGGTTATTAAAAGCAAGCACTGCTGAGAAAGAAGGTTTTTGTAGCATCCAGGTCAGCAAGATCTGTGTTTTTTTCAGGTGTGATTTTTGAAACTCACACCTTATGGTGTGTAATGTGAAGGAAAGATACCAAAATCTAGCAAGAAAGTGGAAAACTATAATCTGAGAAACTGCAGGTTGTTTTATGACCGAACATGGGAACACTTTAGTACAGAGTACGTGCTGGAGGTCACTGCACTCCTGTGTGTGTGTGTATATGTATAGACATGTGCAGATACATGCACATTTGTGCCTCTCCTGCTTCTGTCACCCTCAAAGACCCAACCACTGATCAGAGTACAGCAGTACCGAGGGGCAAACAAGGTGTCACTTGAGGAGGTGAAAAGGGGAGCCCATTACATTCGGGAGCCTGGTYAGTCACCCTGAACGGGCGTGGTTTTTCCAGTAGAGTACAGTGAGGGTCTGCAGGTACGTGCTAACAGCCAAGACCCAGAAACTACATCGTTCTTTGGAAGAACTCAAYAAATGTTAAGCTATTTGCAGTCGCTTTTAAAATCCCACCTCAATGAAGGCCCTAGGCCATGATGAYGTGCCTCCCCCAGGAACACCACACAAGCCCAAGCTGAATCCAAGAGCATAGTGGTCCATCATCGGGGCTCCCACACTGTCACAGTGCCACAACAATGCTGCCCCTTAAGGAAGGAGGGTTTCCAGCCTAAGCTTAGGTGTGTTGCTGAGTGGAGATCTCATGTCAASTCTTCCTAGATTTTTGCCATTAAAGAATTAGTGGGGGAACATAAAATATACATCCGTCCATAAGCTTCTTCAAAGTTATCAATTCAGTAGAAAATACTGAGTATATAAATGACTATAGTAGTACTTCGGTGAGAGCATAAACCTCACTGTGCCTTTTTCTTGGGGAATTCAGGAGAGGAGGCAAGTAACGCTTTCACAGCCTAAACAAACAGTTGTTCATGGCACTCAGTGTCCTGAAGTGCCTCAGCATCCTGGCAGCTGTAGTTGACAGCTCAATAATATGTACAAAGTAAGGAGAATGCCATGAGTACTGCAAAACATGGCAAAGATACCTAGGAGCTCTACAATCTATCAAACCAGCAGGGCAAGCAAACAGCATCTAATGGATAACATAGAGCATACAACACGCAAGTTGCACGGTTATGTTTCCTTGTGAAATCAGGACTGCAAACGTAAACTCCAGAACACGCTTCAAGAGCAGCACGTAGCTCACTCGAACACTTCTGGAAACACCAGAAATCCACCACCCCATGAGCACTGCATTTTCTGCTGTTACAGAATCTGATTCACTGAACCAAGCAGAGCTAGTGAGCCCATGTCCTGCAACCCATATGACTGTGGCAGAGGTTAAACAAAAATGCTGCAGCAACATAGTTTGGTTACCACTGTATATTCAGCCTTTAACGTGTCTGCGCTATAGAAATGTTTCACTTGGAAAATAAAGCACACAGCGATATACAAATGGTATCAATGGCCAAAAAGATTACATGATCAAGCCTGAAAGCAAATGGAAGTTAACAAAAGTAGTCTTTTAGGAGAGGTAGCCATATTAGACTCAGCATTCAAAAAAAAAAAAGGGAGTGCACTCAAAAGGGTCAACATACATTACAGTGTCTTGTAGACCCATCATGTTTCTGGTTTTCCTACATCATTTTTTTCAGAATTTACACACCCAGGCACACACCCGTGCACACATACATACATACACACACACACACWCYCMCMCACACACAYATATATATATACACATCTAAATTCTTTTCTAATTCCCCTTTGTTGCCATAATGTTGCCATACTGAGAATAAAGGACAGCCTTCCTTTCATGCTTTCTTAGCTGTCCCACGTCTATAACCTGCCTTCGGTTGGTTCAGTATCTGTACAGTAGCTRAACAGGCAGTGGAAATTAAAACTGCTTCAATTTAATATCCTGTTGCAAAAGACAGCATCCAAACTATAAGGCATTCCCTTGTACTGATGTGACTTACAACTCTCTACTTGATACAAACTGCAGAATGCTCTTCAGCCTTGTGCTACAAAGGCAGCTTTCACCCAAATAATAAAGATCAAAGCTGGAATTTAAACACCACAAATCCACACACTTCTACTAGTCCCTTATTCTTGTGCCCCTTTTCCAACAACRCTTATCACTTTAATTTCAAAAGTCATGCACCAATACTATAAAATAGAAACCCAAACTACCAAGAAGTCTCTTGCTCATGACTTTGGGATACTGTATTAGTATAAAAGAGCATTCAATCATCTTAAATAAATATATTCTTTTCTGAAATCACAGCACATTCAAGGGGTAGTTACTGCCATAAGCAGAGCACTAAATAATCTCCATAGATGTTTTCAGAATCATWTAGTCAGRAAAGACCTGTAAGMTCATGGAGTTTTRAKTGATTTGGTCTAATACCTGGAAAATAGCCTACYGTCGGGATAAGAATCTGCATCTCAAATGTTCTGCAGAACATTTTTCCCATATTTGTATACAGTACTAGAACAATTAAGAAGACATTACAGTAATTTTCTCCCAGCTGCTTAGATTTGTAGCTTTGGCTACGACAATGCATTTTGTATACTTCAGAACTATGAAACATCAAAGATGACTAAATAAATAAAAGCCAAGGAAAACTGGGACAGTACTGCATTTTACACTTGAGACAAGATTCCCCCCTCCCGTGGATAAGTCACAGAGGACAACTACAGTAAATGCTTGTCTTTTTTTTTAAAGAAAGATTTATACACAGGTTCAGATCCAGAAAATAATGTGAAATGCATAAATATTGATAGCTTTAGCTAAGTTAAAATGCGTTCAGTAAAGTATGATACAAAATATTCAGAATAAACAAAGCAGGAAAGCATCATATTTTGGTTTGCTTGAGATATACATAAGGTGCAACAATTTCTTTTCTAGAGGCATTCGTGGACAACGTGTTAACAGGTAACAGTGTTTGCTGGTATACTGAAGTACACACAATAGCAATAAGATTTTCCAAAATGAAAGCAGCTGAAATTAATAAAAATTAAAACAAAACAAACAAGGAAAAAACCCAACCCCAATACAGTAARATATTGGTCTGAAGTTTTTGTTGTGCTAACAGACTTTGTTACCTGAAAATACTGATACCCCTTTCTAGTAGATTCAGGGAAAATTCTAACTACTCAAATCAAGACATCACTCAGAGAACCAACAAAGGCAAATGCCTAGTGAACTATAAAGCTTTGCAGGATTTCTGCTACTCTCAGTGCCTAATCGCTTAAAAATTAAGCATATCTACAAAAAGGTTTATAAGTATCTGAAAACAGTCATATCCAGTAAACTGACCCAACCCTACCCCCTCTCTAAGGGAAAGTCAAGGAAAAGCAGATCAAGTAAGATATTAATTCATATAGAAAAAAGTAATTTTCTGTTTCTTTTAAAAAAGGTACCATTAATATACAGAAATATGTCCAGGAACAATATTGAAATTTAAATTGAGGAAGGATGGGGTGCTTTGACAAAAATATATCTACTCTAAAGGTTTCTAGAGAAATAAGTTAGTACCATTGTCAACGTGAACGGCCTGCACTGTAACATATTTGGATTTCAGCTAATTATAAAGTGGTCCAAAACTCCAATAGCCACCCTGCTGTGACCCACAAGTTTTAAGTCTTTTAAGTTTTTCCTGTCTTGTTAAAATAACTTATAAAAATTTAATAAAATCTTATTTAAAATACCACCATAGGTTGCAATGGCATTCTAGGGGCTCTTAGACATTTATCCACCTGAATTTTTAAAAAAGCCTTTTCAGTGACKCATTGGTTTGTGAATTTTGTTGTTCTTCTGTTGTTCCCTTCTTCCAACACATGCATCCTCAATGGTGCTGTTTCAGTGACACTTCCCCAGCTACCTGCCTTCTGTCAGACCTTTAATCCTTTCTTAAAACTCGTGTGGTACATTGTATATTGTTCCTGACACTGAACCAGAGACTTTCACTTAACTACAACAATGAAAGGCTAAACCTAGCAAGCATTAATAGAGTTACTGTCAATATGGCTATTACATCAAATTAGTTACAAAATAACCCCAAAACACATTATCAATTCAGTCAAGTATAAATAAGAATGCCTGATAGAATGATGTAAACTCACATCATTTAAAGACTTAATTCAAAGAACTTCAAACCCAACCTAATACTATCAAAAGTTCAGCCGGTATGACGAAGACTAATAGAAAATTATTGCTGGAGTCCAATTTGGTAAATTGTTGTGCTACAATGCAAAAAGTAGGGAAACATCTTGTGCTATAGAAGTACCCTGTTGAATTTGTAGCTTTAGATCAATTACTAGTGATCATTTTGCATCTATTGGTAGGAATCAATGCTTAGTTATACAATAGTCAAGATAGTGAATATAACAGGCCAAGTGATACACTTGGCCTGCTTTTGGGATGTATTTATGAGAGCAAAACACAAAAATTCAAYGCAAGCAGAGACAGAAACTGGCAGATGGATCTGTTTGGTAGTCTGAATTCAGTCAAACGCTACTCTTCAGTTGTAGTTTAACTGTATACAGCTTTCCACTTCACCAACACCAACTGTAATTGGCCCTTTATGCAAAYTCTGAAGCTGATTTGGACTGTGCATAGTAACTACAACAATGCCAGTGTCTGTAAAATGTAAAAGGTATGTGTATTGGTGTACACTATATCGAAAAGTCATGGTTTTAAGTTTTTCAGAACTGTGAAATAATACTAAGGTCACTTTTGAAAAACGCATTTGCAGTAATTTTTGTTTACAGGAAAGTTTCACCAAGTCGCTCAGATAACTATGCAAAAATAAAGGAACCCTCCAAGGCATGAAAGACAAGTCAGTTATCTGCAGTATTTTCTTTTTCCATACACCACTCCTTTTTCTAATGCACATCATCCTGGTTATTCAAAGCTAAATTAAAAAGAAACAACCCCAAACGTAGCCTGTCAGAACTTTTCCCAGTAAACTCTACCACTCTGGTGGCAAATATAAAAGTGCAGAACATCTGGACCACGTGGCTGCCCAAACACCGCTAACAATGGTACATCTGTCCAGGCTGCCTTGAGTTCTCTGGAACAGGTTTTAAATTCATTCTACAATATAAACGTAGGCATAACCTATTAATATAAACCATCTTAGAACTTAAATCTTCATGTACAAAAATGACTAAGAATATCTAATAGTAACTAGTGCAGTGCGTCAGTGTTTTTGTTGGGTTTTTTTTTTCATTTTCATTTAGAATAACTAGATATTATATGAAACTAGTTGTTGTACTCTCTGGTTGGTAAAAGAGATGCTGTGTGAGCTAACAGTAAAGGCAGCCTTTTTCACACCAACCACCTATTTACTGTTTAAAGGCCTTCAATAGAAAGCAAGCTCTGGGATCATTCCACTCCATTTCAGTTCATTAATAGACAATATCACCCTCCTACACACTGGGTTCCAATTTGAGGACCTGGCCCAAGTTGCTAATGTCTGGCTTCCAGTGAATTCTGGGCCACTCAGACCAATAAGCACTTTATTGCAGTCTCTAGTTCCATCATATGGACTGACTAGCTTCCCTTGGTAAAGACAAGGCTAGGATATTAGGTAAAGCACAATGTTTTACAATAAAGTGGAGCTTCACTGGTCAGCGCAGGAAATAAGCACTGGAGCCTGAGACATTTCATTTGGCTGTCCATCATGTGGGAGAGGTGTGGCCCTCTGACTTCTGCAAAAGAAGAAAAGAAAAGCCACCCATCAATATTTGGAGCATGGAAGGCGCCGTTGGCAGAGCAGGGAGATGGGAAGCTGCAGTTGTGCAGTTGAACACAACACATMACAGCACCACAACTCCTCACTGCTGCAGATGCTCACACACTACAGTTACGTGTGCTCTTCCTGCAACAGTCACACAACATCCTGAGGACAGCCCGGCATCACAGCAAAGGCAGGAAAAACCAAAGTGTGATGGTACTGACTGCACAAAGCAAAACGTTCAGCGTGAGAGTAAGCGAAGTGCTGTCACTCATTCTGCAAGGGAGCTGCTGCAGCCCTCAGCAGCAGAGCACACAGCAYGTGTGGCAAAAGAAGGTAAAAGCACGGAGGCAGGGACCACATTAGTGCGAGTCAATAGCCAGCTTTTAAACGATATGGAAATAAACTCATCAGCAGAGTTGCGTATTGCGATTCCTCCAAGTTACATGACTTACCACTACACCAGCCTAGCACATCTCTTTCATTACTACAGCAGTGTTAATTTACAAATAATCCCCTGGCACAGGGTATCATAAAAATAAACTGTGCCAGAATTATGTGCTGGAAATCAACATCAGTAATGGTACCGCATGGACTTGGGAGAACTCYTTTGCAGCTTGCCTTTTCTTTTTTTAAATACATACAACAAAGCATGCCACTGCCTGCTATWCACTCTCAAAAGTGAGGTTCTATTTTTGTCACAGTATTTGTCATTTGTAGCAATGAAACTCTTCTAATTTACAACAGGGCCACTTTACCTCACTCTGGCCCAGCTAAGAACCCAGCAGAAGTCCCCAGCAGAGGTACCCACGTGCTTCACACAACTGGAGTGCAGTGAAGTGGCCTTGGCCCAAAATGCAGCTCAGGCTCGCAGAGCTTAACCAGGGCATGCACAAGGAAAATAAAGCTAAGCAGAAGACTTCAAATGAAAACCACCATGCCAGAAGGATTCCATGTCCCAAGGCTCTATGAAACTATTTAATAAAATGAARTCAGACACTGAAGAAACACATCAAGCAAACCTCCAATTCTTTTCTTCATTTTTCTGGCTATTTGCAAATAAAGTGAGTTGCAAAAGATAACAACAGTTGACAGAGTAGAAAACAGAGAAGCATGGAGCCCACCAGATTTAGGTTTCTGTTTTGACTTTCATTTGCCAAGTGTGTGAGAGATGTGGCTGACTTTCTAYTGGGAGAGYCCTCCCGTTGTCATTTCAYCCTCCTCAGGGTGATTACAAACTGSCATTTCCAACAGTTGCTGGGTATTTGCCAATTTGGTGTTTTCAGGCCTTATGAAAGATGCTGCATTGCTCTCGCTACATGATGACATTGACAGAAAATGGGATTCAAAGAGAAAGACCCAWGCAGAAGGCTCTGGGTCAAAATATYAGCTTGCTTTAACAACTCTTAAAGCAACAAAGAGGGGAAAACCACAGCAGAGCGAATCCTGTTGCTTTTGTACAATTCTGGTCTATGTCAATGGCAGTCAATGAAACCACAATGGTTTTGAGAGCAGAGCTTAGCACAGAACTTCCAGAAGTCCCCTTTTGTGGCTTATGATAACAGACAGGCTGGCTGCAATGTGAAATCATTTCTCACCCAAAACAATGCTGTTTAAGCAAGGCAACAGCTTCTGCAGAGARGAACCAGCAGATCTACTTCTTTTAGGGCTCCTGTGCTTCTAAAAAGCCTTTGAGATTTGATGTGCAGCCTCAGCACAAAGGACTGGTTTTATCGATGGGGCCCATGGGAAGAGCAGTAAACTGAGGCTGTGAATGGTTTAATCTGCTTCTGCCTTGGGGAGTGCTCAGGCAGCAGCAATCTGTCCAATGACATCTGCTGAGGCTGTGATGGTTTCAAACTGGCCCAATGCTTCCTCACTGAGTTTCAACTGCAGGAGAGGATGTGGTTTCATCTCCATGAAAGAACAACACTGGATAATTAAGAGCCAAGGAGGACTTGCTGTCATTGTTTTACTCCCATCAGGTCTGACCATGCTGAACTGATTCAACAGCTCTAAGCAAGCTGCACATTCTCTCTCCCCCTYATCTGTATGGATGGCCCACTCAGTAACTGAGAGGACCAACCCCAGCTACCCTGGCTTTCCATTACCCAGAGTTATTCTACCATRTGCTGCTCTGCAGATGCTTTGCCTTCTACACAGAAAAGCACAAGAGCAAAAGTAACAAGTTAGCTTCCCTCAGCCATGTTCAGCCTAAAAACTTCATTTCAAAACGTATGAAATTCTCTCCACCATCTTTGGTTTTAGGCCACTGAAAAATGCAAATCAGCATGCAGTAACTATTTAAATCTGCTATTATATCTGACAAATAGCATCTGGTAATTCTTATTCATTAGGATTTCAAGGAGCATAAGCATCTGTTTACATACAAAAATYGGAAGTTAAGCTTCCTGGGAAGGATCATTTTGCTAACTGCAGAATAGATTACACTGTCATTTAGGTGAAGACTTAACACTACTAAGCAAGTGGTGAAAAGCAGACATTCATAGAAAGCTGTGGAAGAGGAAACACAGGCCAAATTAAACAGTCTGCTRTTCACATGCTTTCTGAACAAGCTGTCAGCCACACACTACTCACTTAAGACAACAAGAAGAAAACYATACCTGTGTACATTTTCCATGGCTGCTACTTCCGCCAGAGCAGCTAAGCTAAAAAATGCAGACACCGCTGGCATGTCTGACGTAATACTATGATTTTCTTCTGTCTCTGTGTTTCTGGAGCATTCACTGTTGCAATCCTTTTCTGACCTTGATGATTTTTGAAGAGTGCTTTGTGGCAGCTCTTTTGGCTTCTCCTCTGAAAAGRAAGAAAATTAAGCTTGCAGATCTAGCCCGTAAATTCACAGCAGCCTATGGCTATGTTGAGCAGTCTGGTGTTAACAGAACCTTCACCTCTAGGACGTTGATTCTACCAGTGTAATCTGATTCATGCCACAATCTCTTCTGACCCAAGTTACTGGATCAGAAGCCCAGTACTAAGGTTTATGAAGCAGTTTACTGATTTTGCATTCAATGGAATTGGATCTTTTAGGTCAGGCAAGAGAACTTTTGCTTATGTTTTAGATACAGTAGTCCTGAAAGATTATCTAAACTGTAGAGAACTCCAACAAGGACTCTGGCATTGACTAYCATACTACAAAATTCAGTTTTACAACCTATAACCAGGTGCAGTGCAATTTCTTTGCTGGACTGGAAACAAATGATGAAAGGTAACCATTTTCCATTTCTCTCTGCATCAGCTCACAGTTCTTAAGAGTGAAARATTTAGGGAGAAAAGACAGATTTGRTCATTCAAACRAAAGAAGTTAGCCATTACAGACACAATGATTTCCCAGTTGGTTGATASCTGTATTTTAAATAATGACCTTTCTAAACAGGTATCAAAACAAGTTAATTTAAAAACACAGGCCTGACAAGTTGCTTGTACCCTCAAATCTTCTCAACTATTCAGTTTTAATRAAGTTTTAACTCCAATTTACTTACCCAGTGTCCCTGCTGCTGGTGACACTCGCCCATCTGCTGTTCGGACAAGATGTGTGATCTTAGTTTTCCTTGCTTTCCTTTTCTGGCTGCCAACTAAAGGCTCATGCATCATTGCTGGCTCTGGAGTGTTTAGGGCAGATATAGAAATTTTATTCTTCCAGGCAGACTCACTGGAATTTCTGTCTTCTAATAGTATGGCTGGAAGAGAATAAAAATGCAATTTTAGATGTAGAATAATTCAGCCACTAGCTATGTTCATTTGCCATTTTGCATCTATCTGCATAAAACCTCTCCTCACAGATACTTAGAGCATAACCCATGGCACATGATCTGAATGCCACAGATGTCTGCAGGGAAGTAACAGAATCYTTCTTACAGATATACTGAAGGTTCAAGCTTTTAATATTTGCAAAGAAAACTCTGAGATCAGCAGTAGCACTKGAGGGGCAGCAGGGTACCAGCTGTATAAAACACTCTGCAACAGAAGATGCCAGCGAGTGGCTGAGAGACAAAACGTATTTAAAGAACAACAAGGTTCTTCACGTAAGCTTATCTTAGCTCACAAACAGAAAAACAAGTGGAATTCAGCAATTCTTGCCTTAAACCCAGTCTTACCTCTTTAGTCCCTCCACCTCAGCCTCTCTGAGAAATAACAGCCTTTTACAAAATAACAAACCTTACAAAACACTCCAAAGGCTGCAAATACAAAAGCAGAGGTGGATCACAACTGAAGACAAAAAGAAAGAAGTATGCATGGGATAGAACACTGTAACAGGAATAGTGCCCACATAAAGTCAGTGAATGAGAAAGAACAGTTTAAATCTTTCTCAGYAGCTCCAAGTGTTGGTGTTCTGAATTAGCCTTTCACCTCAAACTGGAACATGATCCCAAATTTTCACTTGGCTAAAGAGTTTACTTTAACCCTGTTCACAAAGAAATTGGTCCAACAGCAATCACAAAACATACTTAAGCTTCCAAATCAGAGCACAGTGCCTAGTAGTCAATTGTTTGCAATTTGCATTGATTCAATAAGCCATCCTGCTGATCCCATGGGATATCACTAGTCCACAAAGYCAATCTGTGACATCTTTTTCCCTCCTGTGGTAAAAGTATTGTGAAGCCTGCCCCATCTGTGATCACTGTCAGCTAGGGTTAGAAAGAGGCTACAGGTAGCAAATGGAAGGCCCAAGTAATTTTTGACAGATTCCTGTCCAACCTGTTTGAAATTGGGAACATTCATGATATCTGCACCAAGTCCTTGAGATATTTTTTCCCAGTGCACTGCCATCCTGAATGATGACACATTTTTACATAATACCTGCACCTCATSTCCCCTGCTGCATTTTCAACTCATTATTTTCTTTACTACCTGTCAGGTTATAACTYGTCTCTGCAACAGTCCTTGATGTATTTTTCACAGCTGTTACTGTGTCTACAGTTAGCTTACTCTTCCCCCAGTTTCTTTTAATCTTTCTTCCCGTTTTAAAGGCTTGTTTAAGACACATTTCTCACTTTTTGGGTGGTTTGACCAGCAAAAATCACACACACAGAACTGAAGCCAGAGCAAAAACAACTGCCCTTTCAGAAGGGCTAAGCACTGAGCAATTCCAATCTCTTACACTGAGTCTGGCAGTGTCACATAGGAGCACCCAATCCCACAAACTGTGTGTAACAGCCAAACATTGTGCATGGCCTTTGCTGCTTTCCTTTTAGTGTGTATTTCTGTTTATTGTTAGTTTTGTAGATTTAATGAATCTTCTATTCAAAGAGATATAGCTAACTGTTCATTGTGTGAGGATGTGTACTAGATGAAGAGAGTAGCTATAAAACATTTTATCTTGTTAGCAGTCRCCCTTTGCTTTTCTGTTTTAATGGGAAGGACCTTTTAATATTTTATGGTGTAAGAATTTAATCAGATCTAGTACATATGTATAAAAACATTTGAAACATTCCAAACTCTAATTTGTTTATGCTCTTAACTCACCTACGCTCTCTTGTAAAACGTTTTTGAACTTGTAMAGGCCCTTTATTTGGAAAAAACGCACACAGCTTCAATTAGCATGTCTAGGTGCTTAGTTACARCTGCTAACCTTTCCAGAGCAGAGCTTTGCTGTAAAACTGATTTTTAGTACAGAGAGCCAAAGAAAGCACACTAAAAGATCCACCCCATAACAGTCCAATTAAGCAGAAGCACGAGTAACTGTGAATATGACTCAAGTTAACTCAACTGGGCCAATAGTGAGATGTTCAGATAAGTTTTCCTGTATTGAGATAAGGATCTTAATTGCAATGTATAATCAGTAGGCAGCTTTYTCTCTAGATTTCTTATTTCGGAATTCGTAAGTGTTGATATATTTTAATGTAATGGTCTGGTCCAACACTATTTGTTAATTCTGATTTGCTCTAATTAGCACCTTGACACTGCTGTCTAATTCTAGTTTGATTGAGTTTATAATTGTATTAATATTAGTACTACAACTAYTTTTTTTTAMATTTAATAAAGAAATTAAGACATGATTTTAAACAATGAGCAACACAGGATTAAAAGAAACATGATTTAGTATGCATTTAATAAGATGTGTTGTATGCCAGGGCACCAGAAATTAACTTGACTGATCACTAACTACAGCTGAGGATTCCCTCTTACATTTTTCTCGTCTCATGTTGTATGTGTCAAAAAAATAAAGAGAAGAAAAAACCTTGAGAGGTAAAACAGGCAATAATTAAGGACATAAGGAGTATATGATGTTGACATGTTTGACTAAGAAAGAGCAGAAGGTGGCTGTAAAAACGCAAATGCAGTATGTATATTCCCTCTCCCTGTTTTTATATTGTTTATATTTCCTCTGCAAGGTTTTTTATCATCCTTAAAATGAGACTTGAAGGTCTTCTTCTTTCCTTTCCTCCTCTAGCTTTAAAAGCTCTTTATCACTTCAACATAATGTTGCTGCCATACAGTTTTGAACAAGGACTGAAGGTGAACAATGGGAATTTTGTGTGGGGGGTGGGGGTGGATGGATGCTGAAGGAAAGAACATCTTTTTTTTTCTTCTCTAGCAGTCTTAGTGGACATTTGGTTTGGAAATCATTTCACTGGCTTCTTCCAAGAATATTACTCAAGCAAATATAAAACCCAATTTGGAAGAAATCACACAAAGCCTTCACACACAAGACCCTTTGCACTGACCTCCAGAGCAGAAAGAAATCCRTGTTTCAACCACTCTACATCTAAAYTAGATRCTCYTGCACCTCCTTCMAGAGGAACAGCATCCCACTGCTTCAAATGACAAGGGTATATCCATACAGATGCTCCAAATCAGGACCTGGTTTTGTTTTGCAGGAAGGTTAGGGCTACAGCCTAACCTAATTCCCTGTCGTTTTCTTTACCATCTGACATCCATTCTGCTTCCACAGTGTCCTTGCATTCATGAGCTGTCCCATGAGGAGCACAGGTAAGTTTTCAAGGGAACATTGTCTAGACATGAAATGAGGTTCTGCAGTTACTGTGCAGTCCTGCCCACAGGAGCCTGCATGTTCAGCTCTCCATGACAGTGGCATGTGCAGAATTACTGGCTATTTTTGCAAGAAGAGTTGAGAACATGGCATGAAGGTGTGGSCCTTTGGGCATGCCTACAGCACAGTGGCAGAAATGACTCAGACAGAGAAGTATCCAGAGGTCTGTGCCATATGGTTTCMTCACCTAGGTTTGTTAAAGGTTTGCATGGACAGTTTATCCCATTCTGCAGGCATGCAGAGTACATGTAGTCTTATTCCCCCCCCAATCTTGATGAACAAGAAAAATTATGTCAACTGAACTGACTTGCCACAGCACAGCTTTTCAGACACAAGCTTTTCAGGCCAAACCCCTGAAACACACACTTGAAAGAAAAAACACACACTTGAAAAGAATTTCTTCAGTGATGCCTGTTATGCAGAGAGCTGCAGAAATTCAACCACACTTAGTGGAAAATAAATGCTCTGTAGGGCTAGCATGCTGATATCATGAAGGAAGGGGTGGGCTGTAATGTTTTAATGGTCTTTATGAAGTTAAAAAGTGAAAACCTAGCAAGAGAGAGCACAGTTTCAATTTGGCAATGCCCAGGGAACCACTTCACCAAGGAAGTGATGCCAAACAGACTGACCTGGCAAAAAATCCAGCTTTTCTGACAGGACACTGCTACAATACTGCTCTGGGGTCAGGCAGTACACAGWGCTGCAGCAAGGACTAACAAGCAGAGATACAAAACAGCAAATGGACAAACCAGGTGTACAAGCCAGCTGTCTGGGTGGGAAGCTCTGCTGCATGAGGCCATGCTGATCCATCCAGCCCTCCTTCAGGTGGAATGGATGCCAAAGGCAAAATGGCACAGAGTTACTGGTTCTCTCTGGGCTGCAGGCCCCCCACAAAAGGGCCCTGATGTGTGTGGGAGAGCTGCTGTAGGGGCAGGGGCAGGGCTGTTTCCTGCATAAGCTGGTGCTGAGACTTGTGCATGTGCTCATCTTCTGCTCTCCCCTTCCTGAGCCAAGCCCAGAATTACAGCTGGCTGCTACACAGACCATTCAAGAGCCCTCAGCACGACTCACTAAGTGTACCTGCAAGAGTCAATTGGTATGGCTTGTTATTTCAAGTACTGCTTCCCATTGGAAAGCCTTGGTGTGGCGGAAAAACAAAACTCTCAGCTGAGCGTTGTTGAACTTTCCCAAACAGGCATAGGTCCCGCTGTGCTTCCATCAGCCTTCCTAAGGAGCAGATGGATCTCTTGACATACTCGATTGTGATACACTGTGTTCTGTGTTCACTGGTGTTTTACTGGGCTGTACCCTGCTCTATGAACAGCTGCAAACTCTTGATATGGTTACATGCRCTGGTGCTGCTGTGTACAATGTGATCAAAATTCACACAGATTTTCATACCAGAAACACATGGGCAACACGATCCAATCACATTAAATCTGCCTTTACTGCACTTACTTTCCTTCATTCATAATATAGATGCACACARGCACGTACACTTTTCAAGATGACAAAACATGAAGCCAGCATGACCTCTGCTGACAGCAATCCTTCCAAGTGTCTCCTCTGCAGCAATACAAACATTCAAGCTCCTTCTTTCTACAAAATTAACTTCATAAAAACCAAAACCACACACTATGTAGACTTGTSAGTCACCACAAGTAGAGACTAACCACAAAAAAACAGTCAAAATTTTCATTTATTGTTTGATTCACAAAATCCTCAAATAAATATCTGAATTGAAATGAAGATACTGTGATTCCCATCTTGAATGCTGCAGAATAYGGGAGAGCTCACTCACATGGTTTAGGGCCTGCTGCCTATATGTGGGYTCTAAAAGGCTCCTAAGTTCTTCACATCTTTACTTAGTCTTGGGAGGAACTTAAYAAGCTGGCTCTGCCCCAGCAAATGCAGAGACACATCTTTAATGTTTATGACATTATTCACATGCTTAACTTCCAAGGACATGGCTCTGTGYTGTGCTGGAACGAGGCCAGGGTACTCAACACTTGCCAGGCTTGAATCTTTGATCATARTGCACACTTCACTTTGTATCAAAACAGACTGGATTATGTTAAACAAATGCAGTGCTTGACATCTTGTTTAGCCCCATTTTTATCTGGAGATTTCAAGGTATTTATATTTTTTATTCTTTACTTAATTGTCCATTAAATACTTTGGTATTTTTTCTCCCACGGGAGAATTTAAATGCCCATTTTTCTTAATAATTTGTCTACATGGTCTATYAATAATTCAGGAACAAAATCAGAATGACACCCAATAAAAGCTATGCTGATGTATGATGCCTTTTTTATACCATCACGGAAGCAAAATAGTTACTTCTCATAAGCAACTCCCACAATATATTTGTTGCACAAATACAACAAAGCAGAACAAGTAATTTCAAATTATTTGCAGCATGCAATGCAGAAGAGCAGGCAGAGCCAATATGGGAAAATAGTGCATGTGCATCACAGATTACAGAAAACACAGCACTGGAAAGGAGAGGAAATTACATGGCCAAGTTCTCAGGGAAAGATATTAACCATAAAGGTAGCTGGGGAAACTRGAGATGGGAACAGCAATTTTATTATCTTAGAAATGAACATGGATGGTAAAATAACCAGACAAAATTAATGGAGTAAGAAGAACCAGAGAGGCTCTTACACCACAGGGACAACATAGGAGAGAACACCATTGTGGAACAGCTAAGGAACAGCCTGCTCATGACTTGAATAGTGTGGGCAACATGATGGCAGAAGAAAAAGGGCCCAGAGAAGCAGGCTAAGCTATAATCTTGTACATACTGCACACTTGAAAATGCCCCTCAAAGTTGTGAGTGTGTAGTGTGCAGTATCACAATACTGTAACAAGAAAAAGACATCAGAGAGCCAACAGCAAAATAGAGGACAGAGAAGGTCCAGAACATAACTTTAAAAACTCCAGAAGGTATTTTCCATATGAAACAAACAGAAAGCTTCTACAGAGGCAGGGTTGGAGGATGGTATTTGTGACATTTGGTGCAGAAAAAAGCACTTACATCCTGCCAAGCTCTTCCACCTTGACTAGCTGCAGTCTGCAAAGCTCCAGACAGCAAGAAATCACAGGAATAGGAGAAAGGGACATGGATAAATGCTCTGGCGAAATAATATGGTCACTAATACAGAAGGATGCAGGTAAGAATTACTGAAGGATTACAGAGCTATGASCTGTAGAAGATTAAGTTTTCAGGCCCAACTGCAGAATTGCCCTTGCTCTGTCAGTTCTGCTGCATKGCATCTGGAGCAGGGGAACTGTAATTCAAAGGAGATGCCAAGTAAAAAGAAAAGAGCATCCTACTGGAGTAGGATAATATCAACTGGAGCCAGGAGGMAATGGAGTAATAGCAGACAGGGAAAATAAGGAACCAAAGTGATCAAAGACTGTAGAGCTGAGGTGTCTCTTTCTAGAAACTTTTCCCCAAGACTGAACTGAGAAAGAAGGCAGCAGAAAACCTTAATTAAGCAATGCACCAGTACCTGTGTCCGGAACATTAAGCTTCTTTCTGTGCTTAAATTTGCTGACAATTTTGTGGAATAAGTTCTTTTCCTGAGACTGGAATGAACCTACAGACAACATTAATAATACATGCTTTTAATTATAAGCTTGAAAAAGAGTACAACAGTCACAGTACGTACTGCACAACCTCCCTTCCTGTAATACAAGCTGCCTTTCCACRGGGAAGCACAAAACCTTCTGCCAGAAGGGACTCTGCAAGCTGTACTTCAATCCATCACCTCCCAATGCTTAAGTTAAATGCATACAATTTATTTTGGGGAATGAAGACCTCAGGGAAGCTTAGCCATGCAATAAAATAGGGGGTTTGCTTGTTTGTTTAAAGATATGCTCTCTTTTGCCCATACTGGGCTTGGCTGGCAGGGAGCAAACTTTCCTGACAGCAGCCTGGATGGTGCTGTGTTTTAGACCAGTGACCAAAACAGTGCTGGTAACACACCAATGGTTTAGTTACTGTTCAAGTAGTGTTTACAGAGCATTAAGATTTCTCTTTTTCACTCTGGCACCCCAGCAAATAGGCTGARGGTATTCAAGAGACTGGGAGGGGACACAGYTGGGACAGCTGACTCACAGTGGCCAGTACTTCACAACATACYCAGAACAAAACTGGGGGGAAGGATTTTCTAAAGACATCCACTGCTTGGTACTGGCTGGGCATCAGTTTGTTGGTGGTGAGTGCTGGCTTTTGCATTACTTGTTTCCCCCYTTTAATTATGAAACTGTCTTCATCTTTTCACAGGAAGCATTCTTCCTTGCTTTTGCTCTTCCTGTTCTCTCCCCCAGCCCACTGTGGAATGAGCAACAGGGTGGGAAACTTACCTATCAGCCAGGGCCAGCCCATGACAGAATGAGAGAGTTATTACTGCCTTTTTGATAACTAAAAATGAGATACAGTAAGTGCAAAGGTAAAATCTCCTAGAGGAGGAAAGTTATGTCCAGCTCATACTATCATTCGTACTTTGCCAGCAGAGTCTTTACTAGAAGCAGACACAAGACATCTTGTGTGACATTAGACCACAAAATATGCCATTATGAGAGGTCATTAAGAAGTTAGCTTTTGCCTTATTTGGGGAGCAATCAGTGATATAACWGCAACACAAAATAAGGGATGTAAAATCTCCCCACTGCAAAGCCATTTTTAGGGAGTTCAAACAGAAGCACAGATACATGACTACACGATTCTTGTGACATTTTATTATTATTTTTTAATTAGTAAATCAGTGATTTTTRCAGGTGCTTGGAAGAATTAAGACCTGTTTTAATTTCTACAGCTCAACCTGCACCCTACACACCATTTCAATCACTATCAGAGACATTCAGCCAGTGTCAACAACTTTAAGCAGAATAACTSAGATTAAAAACACGGGAAAAGATGACAAGCATTGCACAGAGAAGGAAATCTGTGTCTTTCAGCTCTTTTTTCCCTATCGAAGGCACCTTAGTCATTTGCCTGTATCTGCAACATGCCACTTTCCCAGATGGAAAATCCAAGGACATAGACTTTAGTAGGGCCAAAAGAAAAGCTGTCTTTCAGTAAGGAAACTTCCTATTTCTTTCCCTTTTAGCTGTTACTCCTATGAGATAATGTCCAATGACACTCAGAATACCCACTGGCCATGAATGCAGTGAAAGAGAAGATGGGCTAACTGCTAAATAAGTCAGCAGCTCACACTTGGAYCTGAGTGCAACTTCTGACTCCATGRGAAACTTCATCCACACTCTGCCTGAACAGCACAGGCACAGCCACCATGCAGGATGCCTGGCTGGGCTACACCAGTGTCATGGGGACAACAGGCAAGTATTCCAAGACTTTGAACAAATGCCACTTGTGAGCATTCAATCCAGAGAAAATCCATGACTAAAAAAATAACGTGAATGTCTTGCTGTTAGGCAATGCCCTGGACATGATTTCCTACAAAAAGCTGAAAAAAACCTTATCATGTTAGTTTACTTGTTATTGTTATACAGCCATCTGCTCACCTTGCTCTGTTGGAAATACTCTGCATGGCTCTTCCTCTCCCTAGCACTTCAGCAACTGCCACAGGATTTAATTCCTGGCTTGTCCATTGTGCTTACTGAGGGCATTGAGTTCCTCCTGGGAATACCTGCTACCAGCCAGGGGCAGCTGCTCGGGGGAGCAGCAGGCAAGAAAATGAACCATAACTGCATTTCCTCTGAATTTCTGGGCAAAGGCCTCCTTTGCTCTCAAAACGTTTCCTGTTTTAAAGAATCTGATCAAATAGAGGATGTTCAACTGATGCCTTAGGATTTTTAGTTTCTACATTACATGCATCCGTATTCTTGTACTTCTCTATTACAGCACTAAAAACTACCATTCTCCCATATTTAGACAAAACATTTCCTATCTGAGCCTGAATCCAAGGACACCTCGTTCTCACAGCCCCAAAATATGTAAACAACAGCGAGTTGGTAGGAAACAAGTTTGGGATGGTTGACATCATCACCTGAAGAGATCATTGTGGGGTTGAGGCCCAATTTGTTAGTAAGACAGACGTCATATAAAAGGTGAAGATCTCGTGACTCGGTGTCCATTTTGGGTGTAGCCTCAGGAGGAGGCTTTTGTCTGCCCTAATGTACCAGCAGGCCTGTTAGGCCTGGATTAAAGTTGTCTATTCTCATTCTCTTAAGTTTGTCAGGCCTCTGTTTCAGGTGAGACTGATTTTTAGGCAACACAACAAGATCCTAACAAAATCAGGACAAACAGTCTGTATGTTTCTGCATCTCTTGGAGGAAGGTGCTGTATTTTTAGGTCATGATCCTTGGAACATGCAATCTCCAAGCATCTCAATGCCTTGAACTAAGCCAAAAAACCCCCAGAGCTAARACCAAGAGGAATGCCACAAAGCAGCATCCGTTTTAAGCTGATGCTTTATTTCTAGTCCTAGAGGCCACAGACGAAAAAAAAAAAAATTGCAGACAGTCTCTTCCCCAAATAAAAGCACACTGTGCATTTCCCTCTTTGCCTTCCCAAAATGAAAGCTGTAAGCAGTGCTTGGTGTACAAGTGAGCATTTCTTCRCAGTACAAGGCAGAAATAATGACTYTGCCTGTTGCTCACTTTTGCATACAAGCAGATTAGTGACTCACTGCAGACAGCTGACTTCTGCGTGGTGGGATGTTTTGGCACATATGCCATTGGAAAGCAGAAAAAAAAAAGGAAACAGTCACAGCTCCAGCAAATGTCGGAGAAGGCCATCTGCACTGATTCAGTGTAGCTGTATTCCTCAACCATTTTGTGACATTATTGTTGTATATGCACATTCCCAGTTCAAAACAYGTGATGTGGATTTTGGCAAAGCTTTATGGCTTGTTCAGTCCCTCTCCCATTGAAGGAAGACCCCCATTAATTTCTGAACCATATGCAAAGCTCTGGGGAAAAAAGTGCCTCTTATTTAAGAAAAGGTTCAATTTTTCCTCATACAATGTGAAACAGCTTTCACATTGCAGCATTCTTCRGGTGTTTTTATATGAAAGAACTGGCTGAAGTGTGGACTGGATGTGACAAGCACAACAGAAGTAATCAAGAGCACTGACCTACTGATTTTCCACTTAGGAGCAGGAAAACATTCTGCAAACCTGGCTGTGTGGTAGGTAGCAGATCAGGCCTGTTGCAGACATAAGCTAATGACCTTTGACAGAAAATCAATCCAGCACCTAAACTTACTAAAGCATACAGTTACAGTTGGGGGTGGGGTGCAAAAAACCACTCCAAACCCAACAAACAAAAACATTTCTCCGTTTTTATTCACCTAAACATCCTGGGGAAGGTTCAGTGGGCAGCATTCCAACCTTTCCATTTTAAACGTAATTTAGTAGACATCTGTAGACTTCAAAAATTAAGTAATTATTTGTGCTGAGTGAGAATGGGTGAATTGCTCATTCAAAAAAAGTAGGGCATAATTTCAAAAAGTGCTCCCCGCTGATTATTTTCTGTTACTTGCAAACAACCAGAGGCCCCAAACACTTGCAGGCACTATTTGTGCTGGACAACTCTTCAAGTTACCTGACAGGGACACACCCAAGGAAAAGCCACACAGCAGAGACAACTCCACACAGTGATGCAGAGCAGTGAAAAGTTAAGTCCCACAACACAACTCACACCCATAGGAATACATTGATCCTTCCTGCTTCATGCTCATCACTTTGCCTAAGAATAAGATGTCTCTTTTGTTTAATTCTGATAGTGTAAAAAAACAGGATAATTTGAAAAACCCAGACCCATTCCAAACCAAGTTCTATTGTTTTGCATGATACGCCWATTTAATTTTCTGCAATACTTGCAGTGGCTTAGCACACAGACCTGCTTGCACTACACCTTTGGAGGTCAGGATTCGCTCTCAGCCTTTATACTCATCACACTTCACAAGCCAACAGAACTGTGAGGCTCACCAGCCTGTCAGTACACCACAAATTAAAGTGAGGATTCAGCTTAATAAATGTTTGGCTCAGCTGGAACAGTTTCCTTACAAAGCTGGTAAGCTTGTTTGTATGCACTTTGGGTCAGATAATTTAAAATCCGTAATTCAATTTTAATTTTACACACCCTAAGAAAATAAAACACATTTAAAATTGACCTATTGCCATTAAATATTTACTTTTAAGCAATCTTTCTTTTCCAGAAGAAAAATGGCTTGTTGGCAAGTTTTTCAACGACCTCTTGAGAGCTGACTGAACCTTGCTCTCCAGGGAGTTGGAATGACTGACACAAGCTCACAGCTTGCCCAGCTGAAGTGTGAGGATTCAACATTTGCTGGAATTAGGAGCATGTATCACTAGGTCTGTCTGGCTTTATTTTAGGGCTGTTGGTAGATGTTCACTACAGAAAGAGCAGTGTTACTATCAGATATTCCTGCCCTGGGGCTGCTTGTTGCAACCCAACAGCTCAGTTGGTGGAAAAGTTCATGTGACTGTTTGCCATCTGCTCAGTGCAAAGTCAGCTGGCTTAATTTAAAGAGCCCTTATTGTCAGCCAGAGGCAAATGCTCCGTGACTGTCTCTGCAGGACTGTGCCAAAACTGCTCATATCAGGCTTGGAACCTGCCTGCAGTTACACCACTGACCCTCCCTTGAGACATGGCCCAATATATTCCTGAGGTCTTAAAATGATGCTAAAAAGGTAAAAATTCAACTCTCCTGTATGAGCCTACCCAAAAGCAGAGTGCAGCTCTGGGCCACCTGGCTTGAAGCAGAATTCTAGCCCAGCATTCCCAAACAACACAGGGCCTGCAGAAGTTTTAAACACACAGACACTTGAACAGGTAAACACTGCAGTGAGAAATTCACTGAGCTGCTACTACAATTTCAATTGCTAGATCACAGTAGATGAAGACATTTTCTTCYCAACAGATATTGCCTAATTAACCAGTGTGTTATCATACTGTAAAGCAATTCATTAATGCTCAGTTAAGAAGTTCTGTCAAATACATACCATAAAAAACAATTAAAGGCAGCTGAAGTCAGAACTAGCTTGGTATTAGCACAAGTCTAATTTTGCAAAGTGGCTGTTCCACATCTAATTACAAAAATCAATACYGAAATTGGCATGCACTAGAAAAGAACAGCTGCTCAATCCTGCACACTGTAATGTGATTATTTGTGAAGCATTCAAAAGGCATAGATCTAATCCAGGGTCACCTGGCTAAAACAGCCGTATTAGATCTTAAAACCTGTCAGTCAGTGGAACCACCATTGTAGCAGAAAAGGAAATCAACTTCACACTGCAAACCGTGCCTGATGAGGATCCTTTTGAGCATCMTCCTGTCTTGTGGAATTACTGATGCATCATTCCTTCATTTTGTAAATGCATCAGTATTTGCACCACAGTATAAAAGCAGTTTCACCCTACCACATTGTCACTTCTGTACCACCTCTGTGTCACAGGTTGTTTGTATAAAAAAAACAGCAAGTGTGTCATGAGTTTCTTCCTCCATGAGCCTTAGCAATGGAGCTGGGTACGGAATTGATTTTCATGTCCTCAAACGTTTTTTTTTAATCATGTCAGGACATTTTTGCTGAAAACTTAAGACAGAGTTAAAATCTTGATAGAAGAAAAATTCCAAATGCTTCATTCAGACATCTCTGGTATCTTATGTTTTAATTTATAGAGCCTAAAATTACAGTGATATGAGAAGCAGCACAAAACTAAGCTTAGAAAAATGTAAAAATGGAACTTTCAATCATCTGCCCTTTCTCCCCATTCTCTCCTGGGAAAACTTGTCAAACTCACTTACCTCACAAATACTCATAGTTTTGAAAAACTTAGTTCTACAAGAACTACATTTCCTGTACAAACTCTACCCAGCTCTACTTCTCATGAAAATCAGGAATCAGGAGTACAGCCTGAAAACAAATCCAGGTGAGAACCAACCAACTTCAGCGCTAGGATATTTCTTCTTTGACTTCAGACTTTTCACAGCTAACAGTAAAGTAAGGACATATAGATTCCTGAGCTTGAAATAGCATTGTTGTTGTTAAAGAATGTACTGCACTTGGCATTTTACCTTTGTTGGATTTTGGTAGTTCACATGAGCCGCTTCCAACCTTTCGCTTTTTCCTCGAAACAGCTGAATTTTTCCTGTCAAAGGTAATAGGACTGTATTGAGGGAGGCTGTTGAATTTCTTTGCAAATTCTTCTTCCAATTTTGCTAAGCTAAATGGGAAACAAAACCATTCAAATTAAATGTAACTCTGTTTCTGGAGAAAAAAAATATAGTTGTTTAAGAGCATGTGTGCATACACAGAGAGGGGAAAACCAGGTAAGTGCACACACTGTAAACACCAAACCAGTACACATTAATCCAGCTTTGGAATGAGAATGTGCATTTCTGCTTCTGCATTTGTAACAGTACACATTGATTACCTTAGTAGCACACATTAAAATTAGAAAAAACAAAAAGTCAATGTCATAATGGTGACATTTAGCTCTGTTTGCTGCACAGATTCGTACAAGAGATTTGTCTGTTCTGTGGTAGAAATGAACAAAGACAGTAGAACCAATAAATAAACCAATTAAATAACTTGACACAGAAGTTCTTATACCAGAATGAAAACAGCATTTCAAATCATAACAAGAATGTCAAACTAATCAATCTTCTGTGGATATTCTGGAACATCCAGAGGCTTTGGGGTAGGAATTAGTTTTCTATTTGTTCTGGGTGATTAGATTTTCTCCCTCGTATTTCATTTACTGTGAGATGAAAAATGCAAGTAACTTATGCTTTCATGAAACCTAACACTCCTCATTCTTCAGCCCAACCTGAATGACTGTCACCAGATTAGCTACAACTCAGGAAATCCACAGACAAGGTATGGCTGCTCTTAATAGCCAGAAGAAAACAAAGCACTCCAAGAGGATGGCACAGCATTTCTGGCTATAATGGCTATGGTGGTTTGCACAAGCTCTCTGTTCCTCCAAATTTTTGCAGCCAGGCAGCAGTATAAGTAGGAGCTCTTTTTTAGTAAATGGCAGTGCACACAGCTAGGCAGGTTATAAATAGCACTGTCAATGATGGGGGAACAATGACATTTTCTACTTGTTTTTATTTCTCCTTGCCGTGAAAACTTCAACTTGACAGAAGTTGGCATGATGTTGGAAGGATGGCCCYTACACAATTGGAAATATCACCAGAAACATGGTACTTCTCTCTGCTTTCTRAAGCAGCACTTCAAACAGTTGCATTCTGAAAGCTTTGGTACATGGATTAATATCTCATTTTGTCTCTGTAATTTTTACTTCTTTCAGTGAGCAATTTTCCATCTTAAAATACAAGCTTTAGCTTGTTGCAGATCAGGGGTTTGTTTGTCTGGGTATGCACACATAGTGCTTTTAAATCACAAAGGTATCTGRCATGAGCAGTGCTTGCTCTGCTTCTTTTTTCTCTTCCACACGGATGTTCCCTGACAGCACAAACCCATCCAATTTTCTGCTGACAGCTGTCATGCAATGCCATCCTCTGACTCAGCTCCTCTCCCACGGTCTGTTCCCACCTGCCTCAGCTCTTCTTGCCCCAAGGCCATGTGAGGGGCTGCAGCTCTAATTGGGAAGGCCCAATCTCATGTGACAGCAGAGGAGCTGCCATCCAGGCAATTTATAGCTTGTGTGATGTGCAGGCATTGGGGAGCGCTGCTATCTCCATGTCAGCCATGAATTATTAAAAACAATAAAAATCATCCACACCATCATGCATTTTCAGAAGCCTGGTTAGACACATGAGGCTGAGCTGAGGTGTTTGTGCTGCACAGCCCAGTCCTGCCAGGTGATATGTGCAGGCAGAGCACTGCTTGGTAAAGGAGGGGGCTCTATTTGGGAAAAGCACATCTGACCTGGATCATCAGGGAAATGTGGGCAGCTGCTGATGGGGAAGGTAAGAGGGCACAGGGAAATGGACARTTCTGAAGGGGTGAGGATCCTTTCACCTACACACATACAAAATGAGGCTGAAATGTGATGCTGAAGGGAGCAGAGASAGTTAAGTGGAGSAGGYAGAGKTAAAACCAGCTCTCCAAGTAGSCAGAAGATCAGGTAATGCAATGAACAGGGATACTGGATACCTTCTCCAGCACTTATGCTTCACGAATTCTTAATTCTGCCTTTACAGAATTCATTAAATAATATCCATTAATGRTGCAACTGAATAAAGATGAGATATTTGAAAATATTTCCTCATCCAGCCAGCAAATAAGGGTAGAACAGTATTGAACAAATCATTTAGACAATTTYCCTAGCTATTTTGAATAAATAATTTACAACTACCTTTTTCTTACGCTACAAGATGTGATCAGTTTTCCCATAATTATGTGTGAAAAGTTTTCARTCTTTCAATTTAAACTTAAAAGTATTTCCAAAATTTATACAAAGCTCTAAAAATACAAAGTGTTCCATTTTTTCTTGACTAATTTTTCTTGCCTATTCCAAATAAACAAGACTTGGGGATTCCCATTGATCTAGTATCTTTGCTGAAAGTGAGCTGCAACTAAATGTCACACAGACTAGTTTATAAGAAGGGCTAATGCAAACCTGCAAAACCAAATATATTATAATTGTAAGCATAAAATATGGAAAAACTCCTCCTTTTTAATTCATTTTCCYATCTACAAAATTTGCAAGTATGAATGCCTATCCATATTTAACTACTGCGCCTGCAGCTAAAGAAATCTGTAATACTGTGACCAWAATCGTTACTTCTATACTAGAAAASTAATTCTGTGCAGCCTTGMTGAATTTTAATGCATCTATACTCAMTAATTGCTTTTAAGAGCTCTTTAATGTCTTTATGGTGGACACAAACAGTTTAAATGTCTTTTCACTACAATGGAAAAATGACATATTTATCATAATTATTTRCCAGTAAAGAACATTGTTTACTATTCCTCTGTAAGCAATCTYTCCAAATGGGCAAAGATCTACTCTTTCTAGTCTAATTTGGCTTATGATGATTGAACACCTACACAGAGCTTTAAATACTGCATGCAAAATCCTCTGAAAATGTAAATAACCCTCTTCATCACTTTTTGAGCAGGTAAATACTGTGTGATTTGTTCAGAACTGAGCAAATAACATCATTCAAATTCATTTACAGTGGGGTAAACCAGGAAAGTTCTCAAAGAAATTACTTTGCTATTAAAACCAGGTATTTAGAGCATGACKCAGTCCWACAGGATTTTAATTTTCAGAAATTGTGATTATTGGGGAGCTAGATGCAGTTCACTTAGCTGCAGTGAGAAGGACTCGCTCGTAAATTATTAGGCTGACCTAACTAAAATACCAAACAGTGCAAAGCCACAACTTACCCAAAAACAAACTCTTCCTTTGGCTTAGTCTTTTTCAGTTTTTTGTTCCCACTTGTCCCACTTGGGGAAAAGGCCCAGATTTCTTCATTCCAGCATCCTTCATGATCTGAGGAGTTGCCTTTTCCTGAGCTTCTTTTTCCTGTGGTGAAGGCAGAAAATTGTTTCTCATCTTTAGAAAAATGTCCCAAAACAAAGAAGACTCAGAAGAAACTTGTGTGCCCTTTCAGCACTGCAGCTTATGAAGCCTGACCTTCATAAGCCTGAAGGCAGTTACAAAACATTTTTCATTTCAAAACTGGGCAATGATGATACTGACAACTATTCTGCATCCCCTGTCCTGTCTTTTTCTGGACTACCTCAAAAGTCAGGATCTCTTAAGGTATAAAGAAGGAGAAAGAGATAAAGAGAYGTACAGTAATAAGCATCTTTTTTTCTTTTCTGACTGTTCTAATTACACACATAAATCTACCAGTCGGAAAAATACATTTCCAGACATCTCACCGAAAGCCTCCAGAAATTATCTCAAACTTGTCCTTCCACAAGATAAAGGGTTCTCACCGCCTACAGCAAAACTAACAATCAAAGCAAAAGCAGAACACATTTGCTTCCCGTAGGATTGAGAACTATGCTCACAACCACAAGAGTTGTTTATATAGAAACAAGGTAATTGTTCAGGGTTATACACATCACAAGTTCTGCACACATCTATCAGCAGGCTGGCAAATTAAACAACAAAGCCTTCAGCAAAGAAGTTAAAGCTCAGATCATGAAAGACAAAAATAGAGCAGTTAAGAGTTTGTGAAGTAAGCAGAACACAGACAGCAAGACTTCAAAAGACCAGGAACAGGGAGTCCAGCCCYTCCACCTGTCCCCAGCATCTCAGGTAGCCAGGCACAACATTCCCATCACACACTGCTCAAACTCCAGCTCAAACATGGACTTGTGCTCTTCCCCACACTCCAGGCAGGCTTCTGCAGCTCATGCTGTAAACAAAACACTCAAAGCCACCCACCTCTGTCCACATTAGCGCGCAGAGATGTGAGCATGCCCTCTGACACCAGAGTTTTATAAAGAGCACCTTTGCAAGATCTCTCCGATTTCCTGGAGCCACAGGTTTCTATCTTTTTAACACAGTCACTGTCCTCAGTTTTGACCTGTTCTGGTAAGTTTTGGGGTACCACCTCCTCTGTTGGGGTCAGTGGTTCCACTTTAATGTTATCAGAAGCCTCACAYGGTACTTCTTTGCTGGCTCCAATACTAAGGAAATCGGGAGGCTTTGATTCTTTGGTGGTCTCCATCGGTTTCTCCTTTGATGTTTTCTTATCTTTCGATTTCACTTTTTTCTTTGGTGATTTTGTATCCAACATGCTTCCCTTCACATTTGAGACAGGGCGGTTTTTTTTGCGGGGAGTATCCATGAGTCTCTCAGCCCCCCAGTCCCCCTTGGCCACGGCTTCAATTGTGTACATTACACTTTCAATGTCCGACTCGGAGGACTGCCTCTTTTTACAAGATTTCTTGGGGGTGGATTTTTCATTTGTGTGCCGGTCCAACTTGTTTTTTTTCTTTTTCTTCTTTATCTTTTCCGGCTTTAGCCCAAGGATAGTCATGTCACCCATGAAAAGCTCTGGAGAACGGCACATGTGATCCTTTGTGTTATCCTTTCTCTCAAAAGGACTGTGTTCCATTGCAAGACTAGTGAAATCTCTGCATTTTGCAGTTTCTGATTCCTCAGTTTTTGTTTCATCTGGGTTTTGCATTTTTTCTATCTCTGATTGTTCTACTTGTCCTTTACTGGAGTCTTTTACTGTTGTTTTCTCCAGTTCTAGTTCCATGTCCTCTGAAACATCGCCTCCATCATCTTCCACTGTTTCCACTTTTGTTTTCCCAGGTTCTTTCACTTTTACTCCTTCTGAAGCAAGGCACATCTAAAATAAGTTTAAAAACAGTCCCATGAAACAAACACCAACTGCTAACAAGAATATTAAATAGGGAATCTCTCTGGCATTTCACTTWAGGAGAGCAAACTATGCATTAGGACAGTACTGAGAAACAGGCTGCAGCCGTGCCAAAACCGATGCAATGGGGTGAGGGCTAAGTGCTAGAATAAGGCTCGTAGGTGCAACTTCTCTAATGGAAAAAGATTGCAACTGATCTCAGTGGTGCTCTCTTTAAGAGTCTATTATACAACCAGGAAACCCACTGCTAGATAGATTTTCAGAATATCCTAAATGCAACGGAACAACGGAATTATAAATCTCACACACATTCCCCCTTCAACTCTCAAATGTCCCTAATAACAATTCCTTTCTCCATTTTCCAAATGGCCTTGAAGGAGGGAGGGACAAAAAGTTATTGAATCTCAGTAACTGAGACTATTTCTTAAATTTAAGAAATAATTTGGGAGGTAGTACAAAAGCCTTCCAAATCTTTCTTCTCACGTCACAGACTTATTTTGCAAAGAACTGCAAAGTAGCAGTGGTTGCCATGGTTATCTCCTCCAGGAGATAACGCTAATGGAAACCAAAATCCTTACACTGCCTGAGGAACATTGACATTCCAAAAAAGAGTGGTCAGAAGGTCCTCAAACTGCCATTTTCCTGCAGCACTGACTTGGGGGATCCTCTCTGTTTTGGATCACCTGTAATCTATGCTGACACCTCTGCAGAAGGTAGTCCTTCACAGCACCAACCAGCTGCCCTTGGGAATACACGCTTTGTTCTTACTGTCCCCCCTCAAAGCCCCCAAGCTGAATTCCCAGTGCTGTTTTGTTTTTAGAACAAATGTCAAGCAGTCACCTGGAGCAAAACCAGATGGAAGAGGCTTGCTTTGAACCAGACATCAGAAGGTTCCTGCAGCTAAGCCCACAGGCCATGTGGCCAGTATGGATGTACCTCTGCCAGACCATGTCTCTTTAGGTMCATTTTAGGTTTCTCAAACTGGCAAGGCTTTTTTTCCTTGCAAACTAAAAAAGCCTCTCATAGCAATTTATGTAAGAGTGTAAGTCCAATGATGAGAATGTTTTTGCAGCAGATTTCCAAAATCCTTGCTGCACAGGGTAGAAATGACTGCTCTGGCTCTGGACAAGCTGTGCTGAGCACTGCAAAGCACCAGAGCTTGGGCAACACACAGTGTCTATAAGGATGCAGGTTAAACTCCACAACTATGCTGATTTGGGTTCTTGGTACTTCTGTGACCTTTTTACTAYACTGCAATGTTAAGCACAGCCTGTGATTTTCAAAAGCTAAAGATCAATCTTTAAAACGGAGCTCATCGCGCTAAGAATATTTTGTCAGTTCAACATACATCCCTCTAGCCAATGGATTACTTTTTTCCTTTTATACATTTGCTTCTTCTGCAGTAGCCAATAATACAGAGCTACGCCTATGGCTACAAGAAAAGTGAATTCTATTTTGTGAGAGCTAAATAAGCTGGTAATTAAACAATCTTCAAGATGGGAAAAGCTTAGAAAAAAGTGTCCAGAAACAAAAATAAATGCAAAATTTCAATAAAATGCCACTAGTTTTAACAGTTCCCAGAAGAAAGATCTGCTGAAASTATCATAGCAGAATTTCTATAGAAGTTATTGACCTGTTAATTCCTCACTTGAAAAATACAGCRGGCATGAAAAGCAAAAATAAATGAAAGCAGCTCATGACCATTAAMATGAATTTGTAATGGTGATGCCCAAATTTTGAGTAACACAGTAATCCAGTCCTCCCCCTCAACTATTTGTGTCTCTCAGCCAAACCCTAAAGCCTCAAAGCCTAAACCAAGAAACTGAATCAAATTCAATTACAAAGTCCCTTTGCCACCAGGAACTGGTAGTATTTCTCAGCTGCACCAAACTCTTAGAAACATCAAAGTTGATGGCTAGTCTGGGGAAATTTTGACTTGTGGCATCTGAGACATGATAATTTATGGTTCTATCAGCAGCAGTGTAATTATAACTGTAGCACTGTTCTGCCTTTCTGACTTCAGCAATTAGCAGCATTAATTTCTCTACCCCACTGCACCTGGAGCAATTGTCACCAGTGTTTCAGTATTACCTCTGCCAGCTGAAATAATGCTGATGTTCCACACTGTTTCGTTAAATCAGAAGGCCCTGAACGGGATGTACTTGAAGAAATCTATGGAGAGAAAAAGCACATGAGTAAAACATTCTTGCATCAGTACCAATTGTTTTATGTTTATGACACATCTTTTGAATGGATTATTTCCCCTCACTTCCCAAAGTTAATTAATAAGATTATATACTTAAGAAAAGTATAAAAGAAAAGAAGTGCAGACCTACGCGTGCTGGTATAAATAAAAGCTGGCTCCAACATTGCTCTGGGGGATAATGCCACTTTACACTAAAAGACACTTGCAGATTTGGGGTTTTTCTTGTCACAACTCCCTCTGAAGAGCAGGATGATCTGAAGCACATACCCCCTCACAAAGAACAGATTCCAGCAGCTAAGCAACAATCTATACCAGCATGCAACCTGTTTAGGTGGTGTTTTTGACAGCTTAGTAGGACACTGGATTGCAAAATTTAATAATTTMATTTCATTATCATAGGTTAAGGAGSCTATAGCACTGTCTGTTGGTATCCTACAAGACTCATATAAAAGAGATGCTATGAACTCAAAGTTAAAGAGGAGCCCTCAAGCCTTTGGTAATACTTAATACTCCTCAGAGTAAAAGAAGGYTGTCATACAAGCATGCAGCTGATAATCCTCCAGAATCTCTTCCCTRTACCAAGCCAATATCCTCTTCAGTACTTTAGAGTGTTTTGTATCACTTTTGAGCTAGGTGCAAAGAAATAATTTTTTTCTATATAAATTTAAAGTATCAGTATCAAGACTGGACACTAGTATGAAGAAAATGCTCTGCTTTGAAGGCCATATGTCATCATCTCTTATCAGGCTTTTGTGTTTCTTATACCTCCTTCTTTAGGCTGCCTAAGTGTAGTTACAATGGACTGGGGAACTGAGGTATTTACACCCTTTTGGCTCTCCCTACTCCCACAAATTCTGTTTTCATTGCTTTCAACCAACACAAGCCAAYAGAATCGACTGCAGGATTTGGCTTATCACTGCCGTAACAGGAATAAACAAAAACCAACAGTCTCTACATCTCCTGGAAGGTGCAGCTCTTCACAGCATCTCCCAAATTCTGACCATTCCAGCTCAAGTCTGCACATGCTGCTCACAGCTGAGTGCTGTCAGTGCTGTGAAATGGTCTCCTTGCCTTGGTGAGGTGATGCTCCAAACCCTCACTGCCTCCCTCCACTCTCGTGCCTCTGCACTGAAGGCTAAATACAGAACAAGGAACTCAGCAGAGCAGAACAGCAACAGCCTCCCAGGCTTCTGAATGCAGTGTCTGCTCCGACCATTCCCAGAAACTTAGAAATCTTCAGAATTTTTAGAAAATAATTAACCCCCTTCTGCATTTCATTTTAATCACCATTTGTGAAATACTGCAAAGTATCAAAAAGAAAGGCATAGGGAAGAGGGGAAAAAAAAAGAAGATAAAATTGGTTAATCCACACAGCAAAGAGATGAAGGAGGAGCAGAGCAGTGTGGTRTGCTGAAGAAGACAGGCTCCCACGCACCAGACACTTGCCATGCCAGCAGCACAGAAACATTAGTTCAGTCCCCTCCAGTGMACAGCATCTGCAGTTTGCACGTACAGCAGCAGAGCACAGCTCTGCCAAATCCACTCACAAACCTAAGATACCCTCGAGGTGATTATGAATACRGTTTATTTGGGGTGCTCCAAACCAGGTCTTGAATTGCTATCTGAAAACTTAAGCTGAATCTCTCACAGATCATTTATCCAATTACAATTCAACAGTAGAGATCTCCAAAGCTGGGGAAAATAGAAAACATCAACAGCACTGATGTCCTACAAGAGCTAGAAACAAGGAGGATGTGCCTAGCATATCTGCCATGTTTTTCCCTGTTTGAATCAGAGCCTTTAACATCCATTTTGTGTATTAAATTAGCCYTGCAGGAATCCATCTGAGCAGTCACTGACAGATCACAGAAACCTGTCCAACAAACAAACGTCATGCTGCCAGACTTAGCTTCACTTTTTCTGCCACCTGCAGTACAAACTGTGCACTCCTGTGGACAAGCATCTGTCCTTCCCCTAACTTAGGGCTTYACAAGCTTCACAGCCACATCACAACTTCCAAAGCTGACTCCTAAAAATCAGGCTGCACTCAGCAATAGCCTCACTCCAGAAAAGCACTACTCACCCTGCTGCTGTCCTGTTAGAGGACAATTAAAAAACTTCTGATGTCCTAGAGTAAATACTACCAGCCCTTCTGCTGTCCCAGAGCTGCAACAGCCAAATATCCTTATGGATCACTGATCACAGTGAAGTGTAATCACCCTTGCACAGGCAYTGCTGGCAGTAGAGTACAGTCACAAACTCTACTGTACAGAGACTGCCTGTACAGTAAGGCAGGTTTTCTTCCACTCATGTAAGTTCCTGTAAGGTCACATAGTTGCAAGACTACTCACAGAACAAGATACAGAATACTTTTATTTCAATGCTTCCAAACTCTGCCTTTTTTCCTGAGAGGGAGTGACCTCAGCAGCAAGAATATAGGGCTGGAGGCAATAGACAGGATCAAAAAAACAATTTTCCCTCACTGAAATAGGATGTGAATTTGAAACAAAAACCCKTAACACCACAACAAAAAACMAACAAAAGRAGTGTACAAGTAATGTGCTAGCACACTCCCTTTTTTATCTGGAATACAAAATGTATCTTCATTTTCAATCATCACGAAGAAGTGTATTTTGCATAGCAAACCTCAAAGATTTTTGAGTGAATCATCTACACCAAAGAGGAGACCTCTACAAGGTTATATTTAAGACTCACCGAGAATTTCCAGGACTTTAGGGAAACCTGACCCAGCAATTTTTCATTACTGCTACAGCTGCCAATTTAATATACTACCTCAACTTCCAACTCATACAGATTCCTGATGACCTCAAAGTCTACTTTTCTTTTCCTATTCTCTGTCCCTGATTAARCAATGCACCTTCCAATCATTATAAYCAAAGCTGTGTTTTYTTAATCCTGATATCCAGCTCCYCATTAGGAAGAATRTTGTTATTTCCTATCTTTGCTGTTGTCCTGAGCACTGTTTTTATTATAGTAACAAAGCTAATTTTTCTAATAAGTGTATTGTCTGTGCTGTCTCTAAGAAAATATGCACATTCACAAGTGTTTAAAGGACTAGGTCCTTGAGACCATTGCCATTGCCTACTTCTCTTAATATTTCATTATTTACTAACCTATTCTCACTCACTRTAATTCTGGAAATACCAAATTGGATACCAGAGTAAACCCTAAACAATTAATACTTCTTTTTTGTGGAAAAGTTATATACATCTTCCCCTTGTGACACTACTGGGTAAAACTTTACCTCTGCCAATTGGAAGAGTGCCGACTTCCCACAGTGCTTTACTGGCTCKGGACTTGGCAACTGGGAAGTATTTGATGAGATCTAGGTTACAAACGAACAGAGGAGAAAATATTTCAGTGGCACACAGGAAAGACAGAAAGGAAGGGAGAAAAAGAATGGAAAATAAGAGGTTAGTTAAATTAGTTACTTTTATTTCTTTCTGTCAAAAGGCCCCACTTGAAATAGGCAACCCCACCCAAGAAGCACTTAACCAATATGTAGAATACAGCAGAATACAAGCAAATACAGCATTTCTTCCTTGGATTACAATCTATGTTTGTATTGTCCACAGCTAGTATTCCATCATGCTGTGTGTTTGATATCTGTTTTATGTGACTAAGTGAACAAATCTTACCTGTTGCTTAAAAATATGCATAACTATTAGTTGTTAAGGTTAAATAATTCTCCCAGAAAGCCTGGGAAGTATTTCCTATTAATCAGATACAGAAGAGGACACCATCTGTCCTCACAGGCAGTTCTTGTTTTGCTTTCCTCAGTTGTAATAAAGGAAATAAGACTTATGTCTGGAGATCAAATCTAGCCTTCCAAAGAGCTGTTGGTGTGSCAGCACCTGTGATGAGTAAATAATTACCATCACCACTTTTGGGAATTGCTTTTACAGATAATTTTTTTCAGACCTGCTCCCAAATGCAGCATTATGAATTCAGAAACAGAAGAATTTTTGATACGTGACCTTTTTTGGCATGGCATTACATGGCATTTGACCTGGATGTCTTGCAAAGCCTTGGGGTGAAATCACCAGTGTTCCTGTGGTATCTCCCTCCCCACAAAAATAACGCTTGGGATCACAACTGGCCAGGTAGTGACAGAWCAAKGRGCAATGGTTTTAAGCTGAAAGAGGKCAGGTTTACAACAGATGTTAAGAAGAAATTCTTATCTCAGAGGGTGGTGAGGAACAGGTAGCCCAGAGAGGCTGTGGATGCCCCAACCCTGGAAGTGTTCTGGGCCAGGCTGGATGGGGCTTTAAGAAAGCTCACCGAGTAGAAATTATCCCTGCACATGGCAGGGAGGCTGGAATGAGATGAGCTTTAAGGTCCCTTATAAGTCAAACCATTCAATGGTTCTATGATCTTTCAGAGGCAAAAATTACTACCTTTGCCCTTCTACYTTTATTTAATTCTTTCTTTTGAACTAAGTTATTTGAAGAATTTACCTTTCAATTACCTGTCAAAGARTTTATTACACACCCCACTGYAWCMCCCACCACCAAAGTCCAGGAMAYCCATTTCACWTAAAGCTATTTAAAATACAGTGAATGATACTCAAATGTGCACTRATAATAGTTTTTAATATTAAACTGAATTATTTCAACATCTTAGTTTTGCTTTGAGACAGTTCAGTGAACCTGCTCAGGACCCCACTCAACCAAGTGATCTTGTACGCTTGTCCTTTGCAGGAGGATGGTCTCAACTTTTTAATCTTTTTATCATTACAAATGCTCACCTCAATGGTTTTTTTCAGCACAACAGGAATAACAGAAAAAGGACAGAATAAAACCCACACACACTGAATTATAACTTCAGAACATTCAGGCATATCTTGCCTCCTGAKGCACAAAGTGAGGAAAGAGTAAGGAAATTTTAACAAGACAATAGGTGTTCCTAGCAAACTGTGAGATCTTTACAGTACTAATAAAGAGAGAAGAAGCTGACACTTCAGAAAAAATAAATCTTTTCAGAGTTAAGAAAACAAATGGCAAGCGACACAAGCGTGTAACTCACTCTGATGAAGTTACTGGCCAAACATCAGAAGGGASAGAATCAATCAGCTCTCAGTGAGATTACAGATCACATTCCCTGTTTTAAGAACACCTTTCAGACTTMATTAGAATAATCTGAACCACCAGTACTACAACCAAGAACAGCCCCTTCCKTATGTTGAGGTTTAACTGGAGGATSATGAGGATCAAGTTACTATCTTTTTTTTGCAATGCAGGTGGGATTTTAACTACTTTATGACGTTTTAGTTTGCAAAAGAAGCATGATACTACTTTTTAATTTTCCTCCTAGAATAGGTATTTCACTTCAACAAAAACATGTAATTTCAGTATGTGGGGAAACAGCAAATACATTTGTCTTTACCTGGAAAGATTACAGCTTTACATATAGGAAAGCTGGAAGAGAAAACACTCACTAGTTCTTACACTCTCCATTTTGAGGCATTTTGACCAAAGGTTTTGCATTTGAACTTTCTGTTCTGCACAGAAATAAACAGAGAGCAAACCTCAAAGTAAGTGAGAATGCAGCAGGGACATCATCCTCAGGCACGCTTTTTTTCTTAAATGATAGTAACACATTGCACTATCAAAAAAAAATTCCACCTTGTTGCATGCTGCATATGACTGTTTTGGRGGTTTATTTTATTAAATCACCTAGAGAAAAAAAATTTAGAAAAACTTCTGAAAGCAAAGTGTTTGGGAGTATTGGATTAACTTTATTTTCAAGATGGTTGAACTAGCAATTGTTTTGCTTCCCTGAAGCCTTTTCTTTAATAATGAATAAGAGTTTMGGTAAGTAAATCCAAGAGGTACTGTTCTTTCCTCTCAAGGAAGCAATCACCACCATCTGTTCACATTTGCCAAACACACATGCAGKAAGACCAAGAGAGCAAGGGGTCCCATCTGCTCTGCTTCCCTCTCASGGCAAGAAACACGACAACAAGCAGCCCCTGCGAGCAGGCAGCCTGCAAACAGCCACTGCCCCAAGGAACACRGCCCACTGCTCAGAAATCATGGCCCACWGAATGCCTTTCCATAAAGGTTCAAATGAGAAGGACAAAAGCAGGGCTAAGTACTTGCAAGATCAGAGCAGCATGAGAGAGGCAAAAGTGTAACTTGACAACACTCCAAACTCCAAAAAGCCCTTATGAGGATGTCACATTATCTTTGAAGACCTCCAAGGCACTCGCCTGTGCACCCCTAGGACCAAAGGAAGTCTTGCTCCCAGGATTTTTATCATCTGTTGTAGCAAGTCACTGGGCAGGCCTCATTAGCCATATCCTGAACAGCTTTAATTGACAACTACAGCACTTGGGACAGACAACCAGATGAAAGACTAACTGAGGCTGTAAAGACAAAAAGAATCCCATGATACTCTACACATAAAGAGCTGTTTCTGAGTGACAGGGCACTTGTACTCCTGGGGTAAAGGTGTCCCTTTTAAATGACAAACCTACTCAATGGGATTGCTGTCTTCACAAAGAGGCACTCTTACTCACCCTGCTGCAAAGGCGGTGAAGAGAAAGGCAACATATGAGGAACACGGAGCCAGAACCAAAACTGAGCTGGGATGGCTGCCAGAAATCTCCAGGCACATCAGACCAGAGCACACTTCACATTTCTTCACAGGTCCACTTGGCTACCGGTTAAATAACTACTTTCTCTCCCTCTTTTTCTTCTTTTGTAGCACTGTACATTGTTTGACAGYAGCCCACTACAAATTGCTTGCCATAATTTAGCTCACTAAATGCAGTAACACGTTCATATAGTCAGGACCCAGTAAGWAGTGGCACAGTAAGGAACAGGACTTTTGCCAAATTTGACAAAGACAGCCTGTGCAAATGAAAGCCCTTATAGCTGAAAGAGCACAAGCAGCTTTAATAGCAGGGGAGAAAGCTTAAAGACGTTCTGTAACATGCTCAATACTTGCCCCTGGAACAACTTAAATGAAACCATCAGGCTGCGAGCTTAGGAAAATGCCATTTCTCTACTGCTATAGATAAAAAATGATCATCAGTGCCCATTAAAGGTTTCATAGGAAGAATAAACGTGGCCAGATTTCTGTCTCCTATTTCCAGCCACAGAACAAAAGCAACTCCTCCAGACTGTGCGCACATTTAAATATTTTTACAAGAGATTAACCCTGACTCTAAAACTGTCCTCAGTAATTCCTAATTAACTTTCTAAGCACCCTTTCTACCTAAGATTTGATGATTCATATGTGCACTCCAATGTGCCACATGAGCTCACTCAGCATAGTGGAATGCAACTTAATCCACTGTCACATCCGTATGACAATTTTCAGGTTTGTCATTTTGTTTGTTCAACTAGGAGAGGAAATGATTTTAGGTTCTGAGAGTGTGGCTCAGCCATTCTGWGAGTATGTCTAAACCAGGTTTTATGTGACAATTTAAGAATGTTGTACTGAATGCAATACATACTCTGTTCAACTCCACAGATACCCAGAAAGACCGAGATTTTTGAAACTAAGTTAACAGATTCACTTGCAGTGTTATKCCAGTATTTTGCAGTAAAATTAACAAGAAACATTTGCCAGTTTGCRTCTTTTAACTTGGTTTGAAAGTCTGGCTTCAGCACATAGTTTCATCCTGCTCAATTCTACTGATTTCCTGAAAAGAACTGCAAATTAACTTCTAACTTTTAAAAAGTGTGGTACATGMAAAAACAGCTACATGATTACAGATATTAACTTTATGGTATCTTTTACTGGGGTGTTTGTAGTCAGATATTTTCTGGCACCTGAAGCAGTAAATTGATTTTTCTTCCTTGGCCCTCCTAAGAAAAAACACCACAGCCCATTCTAGCCAAGCTACAAACACACAGCAGACATTTCACAGAAAGAAGTGTGTGGTATGTAGCCAAACCTCTGTAAATACACAGAATAACGTGTCTTTTAATCCCACTGTGCTCCTCTGCAACAGCACCAGCTCTAATCCCAGCCTTTCCAGACACATACTTAATGCACCTGTGGCATAACTGATTCTGCAAGCAGTATCAGACTCCCCCAAATGGGCAAGAAGAGTAAATGTGTGGAAAGTCAATTCACAGAGGCACACTCAACACATGGGAGAAGAAATTCTTAAAAGCAGTGCTAAGTGAATTCCAAATCTTCAGTATGTGGAGGAAGGCAGACAGGTTATGTACTTATGGGTAATTGATAGGTTTGGTAAGTCACCACCTAACAATGCTGTTAAATGTCTGTGTAGCTGTTGTGATAAGCTTCCTTGACCTGCAAGGATTCTCCAAATTATTCCTGCCTCTAGGGCAGTCACCATTCTGCAATGCTGCAGCCTCTTCCACAGACGGTGCACATTTCAGAATGTCTTTTAACTGTTGTTTCCCTCGGTGTAAATTAAAAGGCCATTAGGATAATAAGCATGTGGTGATCCTTTGGGTATGGAAGGCTAGGTAATGTTCATAAGCCCAGCATCTCTCTTTAATGCTACAGCTGGTGGAACAGGCCAACATCTCATCCATGGCTTTCTTAACACAATGCTGCCACRAAGATACACATCTCCTGATGGGAATCCCTGATCAGACAGGGTGCTTAGCCATTCAGTGGCAACTCTTACCGGTTCCTTGTTTCCTCCCATCCTCCCCCACCACATTCAGCCATTATACCTCAGCAAACTGAAACAATGCAGACTCCTCCGTTTGTTTTACTGCCCCCAGGACTCCAGGCTGCGACGTCGAGGTGTTTGAAGAGATCTGTCAGGAAAACAATTAAGCTTGTATTACCTAACTCTTCAGTTTCAGTATCACACTTCAACATGCTAAATTTATAATCTGTCATACACAGACTCCTGGTAGCCCAGAGCATGCAGATGAGTCCCACACACCCCTAGGACAAACAGCATGTGCTTTCCGGGAAACACATAAACAGGTGATCTATGAAACGGTTAGCTTGAATTATTTTTCACAAGGAAAATCTTTCCTAGGATCAACAAAACAGGCCTTTTTTTTTGGAAGGGACTTTATTTGCCTGCTGATCYGTCAAAAAAGAATTAGCAACAAATACTACACTGTATTGTATTTCACAGTTCAGTGAAAGACCTGAGACTGCAGAATGCTGGTGATGATAGAGCACAAATTGCTACTCAGCACAGATGGTAAGTGTGGACAGGAACACAATGTGTGCAGGTATTTTCAGATACCAGATCTATCCCTAAGACACTAAGGTAACTGCATTTCATACTGTTTAACTTGTGTCAATTAGTTTTGTTGCAAATGACACCTCTGACCAATGTCAGACTTCAGTACAAGTACCAGTTATTTWGCCACTGACACACAGACCTACCATGCACTAGCAAGGTACACCCTCACCACAGGCTGTTTAACATCCTTGAAAAATAAGACCAGCTAATTTGCATTTCTAATTACTGATCATCACTAAGGTATTTCTAAACCACATGTTTTWGCAGTGCAGGTGAGCTTGCTTCCTGGCACCCGCTGAAATTTTCTTCAGTGGGTAAGGAAAAGCCACACGTGAGAAGCCCTTAGCAGGGGCATATCTGGCCCTCCTTCAACACTGCAAAATGCACGGAAACAATTAGATGAGCTGATATTTGTCTAACTCTTTAAAAGATTCAGCAGTGAAATTCAAGAAACAGACCACTGTCGGGAGGAACGATACAATATAAGAAAGACATGGCTCTACGGACAGCATAAGCACACAGAAGCATCTCAGAAATACAGGAAGATGGATGTTGAATCATTACCACAGAAGTGCCATAAGTGATACTGGAATTAACTAATTCTAACAAGCCTTTAAGTATTGCTTTTCATTGCTGGCACATCAGGCATTTCMTCTTCCTAACAAGAAAAGCCAGCAGGCTGTTTAAGAGCCTAATTACAAGTTATCTACTTCACTCTGGCCATTACCTTTAATCAGAAATCAAGAATCAGTGCTCCAATTTATTTCTAAAACATTTTAAAGACTCAGATCTTAAGTTGCAACTCAAGGGCTTGTGTGCTGATGTTAAAACAAACCAACTGAAAAAAAGGTCCCGTTTTCTGTGTGTTATGATTGCAAGGCATCCACACCAGAAGTGATGATGTTTTAGGGAGGAGAGAGGAGTATAAAGGTGCACAAGGCAATGACTATTAAAGTCAGATTCACAGCTGGGGTGAAAACAGGTAATTAAAAAAGCCCCTGTTAYGACAAAATTTCTTTCCATATACACTTACTTAAAACCTACATAGTGTCCTGTAAAATCAGTACCYATACAACTAAATATTTGGGTCACTTACAACCATTTCAAAAATTGGAACAATACCAACAAAAAAGTGATGCTAGCAGAGGGCCAGAGTTCCTTGCAATCTCATTTTTGTCATGTTATTTATATCAATGAAAGCCATTAAGACTTGGATGAAACTGTATACTTCAAAAAAAAAACAAAAAAACCAAAAAAAAAAAAACCACATACCCGACAGGTTTAACAAAAATATTGTACATTGCAAAGTTAAAGCACAGGTGCAYAGAGCTGTTTGGTGGTTATAGAACAGAAGAAAATTTTGGAAATTTAGAAACTACAATTATTTTTGACGGAGCTGATGATTAAAACAGACACAATAGATTAGAAACATAATGTAACATCCAAATACATGTTAGAACTTTAGTTAATAAGGCTCCAGTTTAAAACTAAGTGCAGGAACGACATACCTCCAAACTACAGCTTAAAACACAATTCCATTATTGCACTTGGGCTTGTTTCTACCATGCYCCCAAACACACTCTCCTGCACTTCAACTCTGACCAACCTACCTAYCTGATAAATGTTTCAACAGAATAARCCCAAAAATGAGAGAACAAATAAAAGCATCAATTTTAGTTAAAGACATTTGATTTTTTCTTTCAGCTGGACATSAGATGATTCTTAAGAAACACTTGGAAAGAAAACCCTTTTCAAAGAAACCTACCTCTGCAAACTGAAACAATGATGACTTCTGACAGGCTTCTGTAGAATTAGTTGCATCAGACTGGCAAGTACTGGAGGAAACCTGAAACAAGSAGTGTGCAGAGTAAGACCTCAAAGGTGCTTCTCTCAAGCTAAAAACAGTGAGCAAAACAAACCATTTAAGAGAAGAACGACAAACTAATGTTTCACAGTCCTGGAAAGATTAGATCATATTTACAGATGAAAACACAGTTTAGCACCCATTTTAATACATTTGAAAATTATCTTAGAAGAAAGAACAAAAATAGGAGGGTCTTTTTTTTTCCTTTTATAATTCTGAACTCGTCAGAATAGTTTTATGCAACAGAATACGCAACAGATTATCCTGGACTACACACRTAACTACCTTGTACTGGTGATGCTATCAACACTGCTATATCTGTATTTTGTGCTATCATTCTGAGTAAGATTAYTTAGAAGGTTAAAATAAATTTTGAAGACACAGAGTTGCTAAGTGATAGGAATACTTATTAGAAAAACAATCTCCAATCACAACAGCTTGAAAATAAGCAGGTAAGGGTAGAACAAGCACAAAATTTTTCAAATTATGTACCTAAACATACATTTTAGGGGTGCTTTTGAGAAGCAGTACAAGAAAGAGTCATTATATCTGAAAACAAAATACCAAGRAATTACTGTTCAAAACCAAAAGCCTTATTTGAATTAACACAGATCTTGGCCATGGTATTTTTATTAGCTAGAAATGTGTTAATCAAGCATTATTCTGTTAAAGAATTGAATCAAATACAATATATTCATTAAGTGTCACATKTGAGTGTAAAATATATACACGTGTAACTGCTGGAAGCATGAGGTACTGTTGGTATAAAATAAGATATGTAATGTGGCTTGTAAGAAACAGAAAAAGAGAAAGGAGTCTTCGCAAGCTTTTAGAAAAAGGGTGGAAATTTTTTCCCTAACAACTTTTTTCCCCTTGAAATGTCACTTTATCTAAAAGAATTGAAAAATAAATGTGGGGCTTTTTCTTATTCATTACCTAAGTGAGTATATTGACAGCTTTTATTGGTGCCAGCTCCTGTGCTGGCTGCASCTGCTGTCAGTAAACACAAAGCCCCATGGCACACGCAGACCTGCAGCACATGCAGCTTGCCCTGCTGCTCCTGCTGCTRTTTGAGATCCTRAAGCACTGCAACAGCAACAGCCACRTTTGGTTTCAGGAATCTGCTCCCTACGCTCTCCTGGAAACACTAAATCCAAGTATGGCAACCCACAGGCCAAGGGGACATATACCAACATGACAATTTGCTTACATATACAAACTTGTTTCTTTCTTGCCATAAAACCGAGCAGCAACAATGACTCTTGTGATCTATATTTCCACTGCATTTATTAAACACTGAGCCCCACGTTTTATCAGTGTACTATGGGAGCACAGCAACCCAAACGGCCAAACAAAGAATGTATTTTTAATGCCTATCTTTTGCCTTTCCAATGGGTTGTGCTACTGTTTTCACTGATGTAGTGTTTATTACTGACTTTTATCATGGTTCTGTACAATCCCTTTAAGATGTCTAAGCCTCAGCAGTAGTCTGTATTGTGTGTAAGGGACAGATTGCTGGTGCTCAGTAACTCAGGGGAGATATTGTAGYTGGAACTACTATGGTTTTCCTATCAGTTCTTGCTACTCTTCCAAAAAAGTTAATGCTGTTGCCTTTACTTGAAAGAACACTATTTTGAGTTTGTTTCTTCTACTCTGCTGCTCTCCAAACAATCTTGATCTGTGGGAAACCTATTATCTCCAGGACTTCCAGCCTTTGCCAGGCTGAACCTGATCAAAGCATTAAAATAATTACCAAAGGGAACAGATGCACAGATAGTGCCATTTTGTACATCTCACTTCCTGCTCTTATAAAATGTCCTCAACATCTTATTTCTTCTCCTCTTTCTTCCTCCCAGCCTTCCYTTGAGCTGCACTGAATCTCTTCACTTCTGATTCACACATTGCGCACACTGAGCATGACATGCAAGATAGCGTTTTGYTCTCAAAAAGAAGAAAACCGCAAGGATAACACCTCTGTGGCCTTCCTTCCCCTGCAGCTTACCATAACCTGCTCTAAAATGATCGCCCCGAACAAGGGTGGAGGAAAACCCCGGCGACAGCCACACTGACTGCTGCGAGGCATTAGTGCTGGCAGACAGGCAGGTTTGGGACGGCGTTGTGAATTTCGGCATTGGGTGGAAACCTATAGACAGTCCACTAGGTGCTGCTGTAAGGCAAGGAAAGGAAGGGAGATGTGCAGAGAGGCGAACGGACAAGCAAAGAGTGCTGCTCGCCCAGCACTGCTCACCGCTTCAGCCTCGCTGCCCAGAACCTGCGGCCAGGACCGGG